TCCCCCCATGGTGAATGTTGGAGCCTGATCTCTTCGGGCTATTCAGGGACAAGTTCGGGGGTCGATGCTGAGAATGGGGTGGGGAAGCTTCAGAGGACCATTGAGGTTGGGGTCTAGCAGGGTCTGGGACACACTGGGAGAGTCCAGTGACCGTGAGGGGCAGGGCTCCCTGGAGAGGGGTGTCTGTGGAAGTGGCCTGGGGACCCGCGGGGAGCTAGAGCCCGAATCTGGGTAGAGGGCAGGATTCGGGGTCTCCGGGAAATCGGGGAACCTGAGAGTCGCGGGGAGTGGGGCTCTGCGCCACGAGGGGGTCCCGGGCCAGGGTCCCACGGCGCGGTCCCTGACCTGGATCCCCGGCAGGCTGATCAGCGGCACCGCGGAGGGCCTGAAGGTGCAGACGGAGCGCACCCGCTCGATGCTTCTCTTCGCCAACGTGAGCGCCCGGCACTACGGCAACTACACGTGTCGCGCCGCCAACCGGCTGGGAACGTCCAGCGCTTCCATGCGGCTACTGCGTGCGTCCGAGAGGGAGGGGCGGGGCCGGGTGGGGGCGGGGCGGGGCCGGCGCCGGAACTGCCCCAGACCCCCGCGAGCTCGGGAAGTGACCGACGCTGAGACCCGAGCAAAGCGACTAAACGAGAAACCCATTCCTTCAATGAATGTGATTCATTGAGCCCCCACTAGGGGGCGGAACTGAGACTGGAATGGGAAGAAGCAGTCGGCCCCGCTGAGATCTGCGGGAAGAGCTTTGCGGGCAGAGGGAACAGTATCTGTGTGCAAAGGCACAGCAAGGAGGCTAGCATGACCTGAGCAGAGTGATCACCGTGGAGTCTGAGGCTGAAGAGGAAGGGAGAGGCAGAGTCTCGTGGGCCATGGAAAGATCTGGGGTTTTATTCTACCGCAGGGTGAGGCCCCTGGAGGCTATGAAGCAGGGGAGTATGACCAAGTGGTTGATGCTTATAGAGAATCACTTTGGCTGCTATTTGAGGAATGGCCTGTAGGGGGGCGCAGGATGGGCGCCCGAGGACCGAGGAGGCGGTGGCTGCAGAAATCCGAGGCGGGGGGGTGGGGGCGGTGGCACATCTCCCGGTGGGAGATGTTTTGAGGGTGGCAGGAAGAAGCAGGTGGCGTCCAAGCGATCCCAAGGTTTGGCTCGGGCAGCCGAGAGAATGGGGATGTGGTGACAAAGTATTGAAGTGGAGAGATATTGGGGTGGGGGCAGTACCCAGTCTTGGGGAGAAACGTCAGGAGTACCACTTCAGACGTGCCGACTGCGAGACGCTTCGTGGCGGTACTGGGTAGATCCAAACCATACGACGTGAAGATCTGAGAAAGACAGATCTTTCTGTCTAAGTCCCTTTCTTGAGAGGGACCGAGTGGCAGAGAGAAACAGATATTCAGCGAGATGACTCGGAACCGAGTGGGAGGAGCAGAGTGGAAGCCCCGGAAAGGTCCCTAGAGAGGAAGGCTCCAAGAGCCCCCTCGGAGACCAGGACCCGGCAGACCCAAAGCCCCGCGGGACGCACACGGAGTCTCGCCTTCCCAGGTCACTCCCGTGACCCCCTCTCTCTTTCCCCAGGCCCAGGATCCCTGGAGAACTCAGCCCCAAGGCCCCCGGGGCCCCTGACCCTCCTCTCCGCCCTGGGCTGGCTGTGGTGGAGGATGTAGGAAGAACCCAGTGCAGCTCGCCTCCCCCTGCGCGGGGCCTGAGGCCGGGAGCGAGAGCAAAAGGGAGAGCAAGCACCGTGGGTCTCGAGGGGGCGGAAGAGCTCTCTGCCACCGAGGAGGAAGAAGAGAGGAGGAGGAGCAGGAGGAGGAAGAGGAGGAAAGCTCTTTAGAGAACCCATCACTGTGAGGGATAACGCAAAATTATGCATCTTTCTACAGCCATTGTCGCCACTGTTCACGTTTCCGATTGTGACCCACCCCCGGCCACCCCACACCCCTCTCTTAGCTCAGGCTGTCAACTGGATCGTGTGTATGTAGTGGGTGTGTGTGAGCATGAGCCTGCACGTATGTGTATGTGTGTGGAGGGAAGGGGCTCAGCAATCTTCCCTCCCCTAACACCCACACGCCCACTGCCCCCCAATGCTGCTGCCTCTCACCTCTGACTGGAGGTAGGTATGTGGGCTTCGTGGCAGAAGCTGTGAGGAGAGGTTTCCAGGCTCCCTGCGTTCCCAATATATGCACGCACACCACCCTCCCCCTCCCTGTTGAAAGAGCGTCTCCTGGCCAGGTTGAGAGTGAGGAGGGGTGTCGCGCTCACCTGTCGAGCTCAACATTCAGCCTTTGTGAGCAGGTGGGGGATCCCCATCGTGGCTCTGGGCCTCCTTGCCGTCAACCACCAGCTGCCTGTAGCCAGAGTCCCCGTCACTGGCTCAGCAGTCTGAGACCTTCCCACTTTCCCTGCCAGCCCTCCCTCCCCTGCCCCCTGACTTTCTGGTCCCCTCTGGGCCAATCGGTGCTTCCATCCAACTGTCAGACAGGTGCCTGTGGTCACCTGTCTGTCTCAGTGCTTTGCCCTACCCCACCCCCAACTCCCTTGGCCCCCCGCAAGCACCAACCAGCTGCCCTCAGTGCCCCTGTAGCCACCCCCAGGTGTGGGCTTGCTGGTCTACCACTCCCTGGCTTCTCCAACAACTGCACCTCCCAAAGGCTGACCCAACTGCCCTCACACACACACTCAGATAGACACACACACACACATACCAGCGAATGACCAGCAATAGCTCCTGGCTCCAGCTGCCCTGTAGCTGGTGACCAGCTGTAGTTCCCCCGAGGGTGGGCAGCTTGTCAGGAGGGGGTGCTGAGAGGCCATAACCTCAGCTCCAATTGTAGGAATATGCAATCCTGGCACACCACACCACACAACGTGGGGAAGAGAGAGGCATCACGCAAACATCCCCCATCCAGACCAAGATGTCAGGTCACCAGCTCTGACTCCTGGGAGACCCGCTATAAACACCCACCCCAAATCACACTACCCAGAGCTTGGGGAGGAAGAGCTCAGAGCAGGGGCAGGGGGGCAAGGGGCAGTGACTGTACCTCAGACGGGGGCGTGGGCCCCATCCCACATTGTCTTCCATTCCCAGGGTCCAGGGATTGGGGAGGGGAGGGGGAGGGATGCGAGGAAGGGGGCGGGGGGGCCCTGGGGGCCGTGTGTTCTGATTCATGGGGAGTGTTGAGACCACCACACCAATAAACGCCTTTTTCCAAAGTCTCTGCCTGCAAATGTCAGTGTCATTGAGGATTTGGGTGAGTCGAGGGTGAAGGGTCATCGGTGGTGCCTCCCCAGCATCATCTCTACCCTCTCTTTTGGTAGATTTGGAATTGACCCATTACAGAGGTGGCCCCTGATTGACTTAAGCCCCTCAGCTAATGAGACAGTACCATAGCTGCATGGATTTCACAAGATGCTCTTCCACTGGATAATGTAGCTCAATGATGTGAGATCTATCTAGATCTGCATAGTTGCTTTTCTCCATTACATGGAAGATCTTGGGTCTGTGGGGATAGCAATGGTGGGGAAGATAGCACATAGAGCCTGAGAATGATAGAAACTACACAATACAGAGAGGAAGGAAACTGAGTCCATGGTGACATTGAGAAGCTGGATCAAAACTGACCTGACACCCACCTTTATTTACATAAGCAATACAGTCGCCTATCTGTATAAAACAAGTTGTGCTAGGTTTGTTATTAGCTTTCATTTCCTTTTCAATCAAAAAGGAAATGAAAGCTCTGAAACAGAAAAGACAGAAAGATTCCAGGTACCCAGGACCCCAGCCTTCATCTTTCCGAATATATCAAGAGTTTTATTTCCCTAAAGGCCTCTTTCATCCCAGTCTTCAACCAGAATACCTTCCATCCTTTCCCTTTCCTTCCCTGAAACAGACGCTTTAGTTGTTTCCTCCTCCTTTGCTATCAGACCCACCTCCCATGATACAGGCTGAGATGTTTGGTTTCCCAGCCTTCCTTGCAGTGATGTGGCTAGTTTTGGACCAATATGGGCAGTTTGCTGATGGGATTCCAGGAAAGTTTTTTTCCTCATTCATGAGGTTGGTCAAGGGAAGGGGTGTAAGAAGGGACTCTGGCTACCCCTCTCCTTTTGTCTTCAGATACAGTTGTGTGAAGACGTGATGCCTGGAGCTCCAGCAGCCATCTTACCACATAAGACAAATATGTTAACCCACTGAGGGTGGTCAAGCAGAAGGATGCAGAGAGCTCAGGTCCTTGACGGGGTCTCGAAGTTGCTGAGCCAGCCTGAAACCACCACCACTTTATTTTGCCACCATATATTTTGTCACTTGCAGCCAAGGGAATCTTCACTGACGCACTCCCTAAATTTCTAATGAGAAACCCAGCTAAGAAAGAAAGGCATCGTGCTGGCAAGAGTGGCTGCAAGCCCAGCCTTCCACTGGCACCAAAACAATTGCTCAGTCAATCCATATTTATTGATTGCCTGCTGTGTGCCAGGCTCTATGTTAAGAGCTGGGAATAATGACATTGTCTCTGCCTTCATGAAGTTCTCAGTTTTGAGAATGAGTCAGAGGCTAAACATGTATGTACAGATTTATGTGCAAGGGGCCAGAGGTTCAGAGGCTGTGGGGATTAAGGTCATGGGTTAGGGAAGGGTCTCCCAAGCTGGTAATGGTTACTTTTTTTTGGGTTTCTGCACCTGATTCCAACATTAGAGGAATGTTCTAATGTTCTCCGCGCGCCCCCCCCAACAACAACAACAAGCAATTGTCAGATGCCTATTGGTGTCTGAGAATTCAACTCCATTCTGACTTGTCTACCCAAAGATAGCATGAAACTCTACAGGTGAAGGATGCAGCCCTACAAAACTGCCACCCCTATTCCCCACATCAGACACTAACTGCAAGCCCCAAACTGCTACCCATACTTCTGACTGACTGGCTACAGGCTGGAGGTTCCAAAGACCTCTTCCTTGGATTTGATTATTTTGCTAGACTGGCAAGCAGAACTCAGGGAAACACTTAGTTACATTTACCAGTTTATTAAAGGACATGAGAAAGGATATAAACCAACAGCCAGATGAAGAGATACACAGGGCAAGCTCCCAAAGGAATCTCTGTCGTTGTGGGGCTTGGGGACCCAGTTTAGTGGTACATGGGGGCATTCTGGTTCCCCCAGCATGGAAGCTCTGCTGAAATGGGTCAAAGAGCTGTCCTCGGGGGTTTGTTCATAGGCTTCATTTTATAGTCATGATTGACTACGTCACTGGCCATTGGTTGATTCAACATCCAGTCCCTCCTCCTCCTGGAGGTGGGGGTGGGGAGCGTGTAGAACTGAAATTTCCAATCCTCTAATCACAGGTTTGGTCCTCCAGGCAACCAGTCCTGCCTTTGGGTGCAACCCAAAAAGTCACCTCCATTAATAATAAGACACTCATTTCACCTTTATGACTCTGAACCGTTTTCAAGAACTGTGGATCACGACCAAATCTATCTGAGAAACCAAATGATAATCAAATATACGTGTCCTATAAATCACTGTATCTCAGTTCCCATTATACTTGAGAAGTGGACGACCCAGGGCAAAGAGTGGTGTTCTAGGCAAAGCAAACTCTGAGGCAAAGCCCTGGAGGCAATGTAGAGCTGTGTGGACAGAAAATCTGTTGTTAATCCTGAGTAGCAGGAGTGAAAGGACTGGAAGCGAAGGTCAGAGGCCAACAGAAGCCAAACCACAAGGCTTTGAAAATCACAGAGAGGAATCAGGACAATATCTGAAGGGCAATTGGCAGCCATAGAAGGGTTCAAAGAGAAGTGGATGTGATCTGGGCTGTTTTAAAGATGAAGACTCTGGTTACTGGATGGGGAATGGCCTGGAGGAGACAAATGGACATAGGAAGATCTTCTGAGAGAATGAGGCAGGGCCCTCTCTGGGGCTCAGAACAGCAAGGACAAGCCCTGCCTGTTCACCACCAAGCCTGTACGTCCTGCCTGCTTGGAGGTTGTACAAATCACACTGGTACATCAGCAAGGAATATCTCCCAGCCTGGGAACCACAGCTCCTTAGTTGCACAAATATGAGTAGAGTCTTCTGTGCTGACAGGGAGATTAGAAGTCTCATGCTCTATGGCCAGTCTTCAATCTCAGCAGGGCGGGAAGGCCCTGCCTGCTGTCGGGGTGAAACAGGAGGTCCTACCAAAAAGTCCTGTGCAGAGTGGGCCCCGTCACACCTGTGTGGCTGCCCGAACAGTCCTTAGGCCCCCACCCGGAGAGATGACTGGACTGGGGCCAGTGACCTGGAAGAGAAAGGAAGGGAAGGGGACCATCTCAGGGGTTACCCTGAATGTGACACAACTTATGCTTTTCTAGGGCGAGCTCACACCAGTTGGACATTAACCAGGTTACCTCCATTTACCAAAGGAAAAAATGTCCACCTACCCTTGGGAGAGATAAGACAAGCAACAACCCAGCTTTTATGGGGAAGATATTCCATCCCACATCTGATAGAAAAGGGAAATTTGCCAATTGCTATGGAAAAGAATAAGGTGTTTTTCCTCCAAAACTGGAATTTTTTTTTAAAGATTTTATTTATTTATGAGAGACACAGAGAGAGAGAGAGAGGCAGAGACACAGGCAGAGGGAGAAGCAGGCTCCACACAGGGAGCCCGAAGCAAGACTCGATCCCGGGACGCCAGGGTCACGTCCTGAGCCGAAGGCAGACACCAAACTGCTGAGCCACCCAGGCATCCCTAAAACTGGAATTTCACTCTTAATATAACAAAAATTGGATGGGAATTCCTGTCCAATTTTTATGCATTTTTTAAAAGAGGGGGGATTTTACCGACGTTGTAAATCAACAAGTAAAGCTAGAAGAAGACTCAGACCGTCTTCTCTCCCCGATTAATACACAGGAAGGGGGCACCTGGGTGGCTCAGTGATTGAGCATCTGCTTTTGGCTTAGGTGGTGATCCTGGGGTCCTGGGATGGAGTACTGCATCAGGCTCTCCACAGGAAGCCTGCTTCTTCTCTGCCTGTCTCTTCCTCTCTCTGTGTCTCTCATGAATAAATAAGTAAAATCTTTTTAAAAAAATAAATAAATAAAATAAAACACAGGAAGTTCCATGCCCTTTCCAGAAGGACATTGGAGCACCTACACTCACCTGGTGGGCCCTGTTTGGGCTAGGGTCCTCCAGCGGCACTTTGAAGGGCAGAGGCTGTGGGGTCTGCACTGGGGTTATGCTCTGCATCTTTTTTTCCTGTGGGGGAACCACAGGGGTCAAGGAGGAAGGACACTTGTTTTTCTTAAGAGTGTCTTCTGTAAAGAGAAGGAAGAGAAACAGAAACCGTGACTGGCTGTTCCAACATTCCAACCCAGCCAATGACCAGGGAAGCTGGGCTGAGGGGCGGGGCCTTACTCTGATTGGCTGATAATGGTAGAAGACAGGGTGAATGACCTATGACTGGGTTGACTGGTTCAGCCAGTGGGCCCCTCACTTACCCCTAAAACTGGACAGGCAGCGGATGCACTTGTAGAGAAGCGCTGCTAGGAGGGCCAGGCCCAGTATGGAACCCAGGACGATGCCAGCAATGGCCCCAGAGCCCAGGGGGGGACCTGGAAGAGGCAAAGAGATGGAGGATAAGGAAGCAGGAGCTAGGGCTGGACCCAAGTTTCCTAAGCTCTCTGCTCCAACTATTTTGGAACTCGGGAATCTGGGATCCCAGACTCCCAATTCATTTTGCATCTACTAAATCACTGTGGTGCGTCCGGCATTCTACCAGATGGTAATGATCCACTGATGAGCAAACCCGGATATCTACTCTCAGGGGGATTAATTTTTAGGGAAATCAGAAATGAATACCCAAATTAATAACAATTACAGGTGGCACTAAAAAGAAAGTAAGTGTGCTATGCCAGAAGTAATGTGCTATCATAGAAATAGAGTCAATCTTCTACAAAGAATCTGTTTCCATATAAGTTCACATTCACAGGCACAGAGAGTTAAAACGTAATATATCTTTTCAGGAGGAAACACATCTCAACCAATCAACTCAAGATGAGATCATTAGGATGAGCCGTAACCCAATATGACTAGAGTCCTTACAAGAAGAAGACAGAGGGACACCTGGGTGGCTTAGCAATTGAGTGTCTGCCTTCAGCTCAGGGCATGATCCCAGAGATCCAGGATCAAGTCCCACATCGAGCTCCCTGTAGGGAGCCTGCTTCTCCCTCTGCCTATGTCTCTGCCTCTCTCTGTGTGTCTCTCATAAATGAATGAATGAATGAATGAATGAATGAATGAATGAATAAATAAATAAATAAATAAACAAATCTTTAAAAAAAAAGAAAAGAAAAAAGAAGACAGAGACACACACACAGGGAGGAGGTAGCTGTGGAAAGCTAGAGGCAAAGATCACAGTGATGCAGCTATAAGCCAAGGATTGATGGCCACTATCAGAAGCTGGATGAGGTGACAAAGAGTCTACCTCAAGTCTCAGAGGGAGCATGGCCCCAATTTCCCTCAGAGGGAGCACTGACACCTTGATTTCTGACTTCTGGCCTCCAGAATTGGGCGAGAATACATTTCTGTTGGGTCCAAGCCACTTTCTTACACTAGCCCCAGAAAATGGATACAAGCAGACAAGCGGGATACAATGCAACAAACTGAGGAGACAGCCCAGGAAAAGGCTCCAGTAGCCCCAACTCACTGGCCTGGTACACTTGGCTCTGTGATGGGGTCCCTGGCTGGCCCCCCAGCATAGGCAGGACACGGAAGACCCAGGTGCCAGGGTTCCGACGGGGAAGGGGTACCACAGCTGACCGCTCCTGAGGCCCCAGGATGAGCAGAGAAATCCAGTCCTTGTAGATAGTGGCTCGACCCAGATCAGGGCCTTCTCTTTGTGCCTGGATCTCAAAATCACTGATCAGGGCCCCACGTTCCACATCCCAAGTAAGCACTGCTGCATCCTGGGCTCTCTGCAGCCTCCATGAGGAGATGGAAGGTCCTGAGGAGATTAAGGTGAAGGCTGGATTTATGGATCCTAGAGGGGAGAGGAAAGGGGGCTCTGGACCTGGGCTCATAGGTCCTGAGGGTCTGCTGGGGAGCCTTCTAGGCCTACAAGAGCAAGGGACTGAGGGGCTGGACTCTTGGGTCTGAGGCAAAAGGAGCTGGGGACCGAGTGTGAGGGAAGAGAAGGCTGGAGGTTCTGGGAAAGGATGGACTCACCAGTGAGAGTGATCTGGTTGCCCCCAGCACCCAGCGCCCCGCTGCACAACACGGAGTAATTTCCCAGGTCCCAGTCCAGACTGAAGTTGCTAATGAGGAGCCTGCGCCCATCTCGGCTGAGCCGCAGGCGACTCCCACCTCCTGGGGCCACAGGCTGCCCTGCCCGGGCCCAAGAGGCTCTCGATGGTGGAGGGCAGCCAGTGGCCTCCAGCACCACCTCCACCTCCCCTGACCGTGTTTCCTCCACTGTGGGATGCAGCAGCACTTCCCGAGGGGCCTCTGCAGGTAGAAGAAACCCAGCTGAGTCAAGACCTTCCCCTGGAGTGGGAGACCAAGTCCTGTGCCCTTTGGTGAAGTAAATTGCTGTGAGACCCCAGCACTCTAGCCAAACAAGGAAGCACTGCCCATTCACTCACTCTCTCATTCAATCACCATTATGATTTCTTTAATAAAGACGACTTATTACATACGTACTAGCAGCCAGGTTCTAGACTGCGGAACTCGTATTATTCTCAACCATTTATTGCACTGGACACGTAGGAAGGTGTCTCTTCCTGGGTCCAGGAAAGAAATTGTGGCCCTTCTCCTGTTTGAGGTATGGGAAAACCTTAGTCCTTCTGTAGGGTTTAAGACACAGGAACTCTCTTTTCCGGGAGTTTCGAGTCTGCCTTTCTCATTTCCTAAAGGAGCTAAGAAATACACCCCCTACCCCCTCAGGAAATAGGAGAGGAGTCCCACCGGCTCTCACCTGGGGTGACAGTGCAGGTGCGCGTGGTCATCAGGTGGCGGGCAAGGCAGGTGACCGGGACGCCGCTGAGCCGGGGGTGGGCGGGGACCGCTGCCAGGAGCGCAGAGGCCACCGGCCCCGCGTGGACGCCTTCGGGGAGACCCTGGAACTGCAGGGAGGCGGCGGGGACCCCGCCGGGCCACGCGCAGCGGAAGCGCAGGCTGCGGTCCCCCGGACCGCCTTCGACTGAACACTGCGGGGACCCGGGAGGCAGATCTGTGGCGCGGAGGGAAATCCAGGGGTCAGCCTCTCTCCGCTCAGCCCTCCAGCCCCGCCTCTCCGCGCCGCACACCAACCCTTCGGCACCTGGCCCCGCCCCGTCGGCGCCGTCCGCGCCCCATTCTCCTGTCACCCCAGCTCACTCTCCCAGAAACTTCCGGGCTGAGTGGGCAGCTGCAGACCCCTGACCGCACCTCTTTCCTAAGGAAACTACATTTCTGCACGGATTTCTTTCCTTGCAAACATAACCCCGCCCCTTTCTTCCTAGTCCGGCCCCCTCCACCAAGTTACTCAGCGCCTTCAGCCAGACCTCTGCGCCCCTCCTGGTGCGCCCCGTCCCTCTTCTAAGACCAATCCGCCCATTTCTAGAATGGTCCAGGCCCCTTTTCTTATGACTTAACTCCCAGGCAATTTATTTGCTGATCCCACTTACTGGCTCAAGTGCCCTAAGCCCCTTCCCTTTCTGGCCTCCACTCTTGCCATCCGACGCTCTGCTTAATTTGTTGAGATTCCTGCCCAGGAATCTCTGCCCTATTAATGCTGGCCCCGCGCCCTCCCTGGCCTTCCCGCCCCACCCGCCCCACCCGCCCAGTCCCTCGGGCCCCTGTTGGCCCCGCCCCTTCCCCGGCACCCGCCCCTTTTGCGGGGAGGCCCCGCCCACAGGTATTCCACCCCGCCCCCACCGCGTTCACCCGCCACGGTGAGGTTGAGCAGAGAGCGGCGGCGGCGGCCAGTGCGCGGGTTCGCGGCAAGGCAGGCGTAGGTGCCGGCGTGGCCCGGGCCGACCGCGGGCAACAGGAGACGCGGGCCGGCGGGCACCGCGGCCTCGGCCGGGTCTGCCAGGCTCCACGCGATGTCGGCGGGCGGCCGCGAGGCGGCGGTGCAGCGCAGGGTCACGTTGCTGCCCGCAGTGACAAAGAGGGCGGGGGCGGCGTCGCGGTCCGAGGAGATCTTGATGACCGGCGCATCCGGGCCGTCTGGACGGAGGAAAGGGTCCGGACCAGGAGAGGCGGGGTTACCCGGGACCCCGCCACAACCCCGGGGCGCTGGACCTCCAACCGCCCTCCGCCCCAGGGACTCAGGAACCTGAGCTCCCGGATCACGGACCCGAACCCGAGGCACACCCACACTCACAGAAGACTCTGACGTCGGCCGCAGCCTCGGTGTGGCCGAAAGGGCTGCGGACGCGACAGGTGTACCGGGCCTGGTCGCTGCGCACGGGGCGCATGATGAGCAGCTGGTCGCCCTCTGTGCGGATCCGGGGTGGTTCCGCTCCCTCCGGGTCTGTCGCCTCCAGGGTGCGTCCGTCCTGGCTCCAGCTCAGCTCTCCACGACCAGGCCCCCACCCCAGGCAACGCAGCCGGAGCTCGGCCGCCCCCTCCTCTGTCTCGGGGGTCTGGGGCTGCACCGACAGCTGGGGCAGGGGCTCTGGAGAAGGGAGCAGACTCAGGACCGGGTCTCTGGCCCCCTGGTCCCCTAGATCCAGGACTCCAAACCTCAGCCTTCACTCCTCCCACCCAAGACTTTGAGGCCCAGCCCTAGGGGTCCTCCTCCTCCCAGACCCCTAAGTGAGTCCCCCACTCTGTCCTCTCAGAGACTCAGGATTCCAAGGCCCCAGGGGTCTTGATCCCCAGGTCCACCTCCCCTCAAGAACTCCTGTCTTGACCCCCAGCCCTTCTTATCCCTCCAACCTAGAAGTGCTCTCTCCCCTGTCAAAGGACCCCTTCATCAAGGGAGAAAACATGGACAGCAGCCACCTGCCCAAAGGTCTGGCACAGCAGACCCTGCAGCCTGCACTCTGAGCCTCAGTGCCCACTTACCATATACACCCACCGTGAACTCCCGAATCTGCCGGGAAACCCCAGCCCGGATAACCTCAGCAGTGTAGAGACCAGCATCCTCCAGCCCGGCAGAAGCAAGTTCCAGGCCCCCTTGGGCCTGGTCAAATCGTAAGCGGTCTCGGTAAGCAGGGTCCAAGCTGATCAGGGGCGCCCCTGGCCCCAGGCCTCCTGCAGCCAGCACCTTAGAGCCCCGGCGCCAGACAACCAGAGGAGCAGGAGGGCCGGGGCTGGGAACTGGAACTAGAGGAAGCTGGATGGTGGTCCCCACTAGCACTGAGAGAGGCCTCCCCACCTGCTGGGGGAAGCTTTCCCCTGGCTGGGCTCCTGCAATTACTTTGGACTCAGGTTTCTGGGCAGAGATTTCAAGATCATGATCCTCAGGGGAGGCTTTTGAACCTGGGGTCTCAATAGGTACTTCAGTAGCTGGGACCGGAGCTGAAATGTTCAAAGCTGGGGTCTTAACAGAGAAGGAGGGCTCTGAGTCTTTGGCAGGAACTTGAGAACCCAAGATATCAGAAAATACTTCAGAATCAGGGATTTCAGAGAAGGTAGGATCCAGGCTCAACTTTTGGCCCTCAGCAGAAACATTTGACCAGACGGACCTAGGCACATCGTTAAAATCTGAGGACTCAGAAAACCATTTGAGATGAGGGATAGCAGCCGTGGCATTTGAACCTGGAGACTGATCTGGAAATTTCCAGCTGGGGGGGTTGATGTAGGAGACTTTTGAACCTGGGCCCTGGGAAGAGCTTTCTGAGTCCAAGGAGAAATTGGTTTGCTGAACTCCAGAAGAGGCTCCATGGGTGAGGACCTCTCCTCCAGAGGCTGCAAGGAGAGGAGGGGAGGGTGTTGAGGAGGTCCCGAGAAGGGGAACAGGTGGGAAGGGGCTGAGCAGGGGACTTACCCAGAAACAGGAAGAGCAGCAGAGCCCATGAGGTGTCCATGGTGCTGGCTGCACCTGTGAGGACACTGGAGCGAGACTCCAGTGCCTCCCTGGTCAACAAGTCTGACAGGACTGGTAGCTTCCTGGGTGGGGAAGGAAGCCAGACCCAGTGGGCGGTGCCAGGATCCCCCAACCCCAATCTAGTGGCAGAGCCAGCCACCCCACCTGACTGGTCCTCATCAGCTGGTCCCATATGACCCCTGCACTCCCCACACCCAGGGTGAAGATAGTGAAAGCTGCTGAGTCCCAGCGGAAATGGGGTAGCAAACCCATGGGGAAGAGAAGCCAGGAAGAATTCTTGGAGGAGGGTGAGGTGACCCTTTGGAGAGCCCCACTTCTGATGGCCTTGGCCTCAGTTCAGCCTTCCTTCTCCCCACCCTCTGGCCTTGAGTCTCCTCTGTCCTCCCTGCAGCCTCAGATACCTGCAATTGCCCAAATGCTTCAACTCCTCCTATGGCTCCCTGCTGCCCTCAGAATATGTCTCAATTGGTTGTCTCCCACCCTCTCCTGAGACCTAGAGTTGCATCTCTGTGCCCCCCATGGCCTCAAATGCCCTGCATCCCACTAAACCCAGCATCTTCCCTCCAATACAACCCCTTCCTGGGCTCTCCATCTCAAGTGCCATTCCACATCTATGCACAGGTTGGGGAGCCTTCTTCCCTCCTCTCTCCCCCTCCCTCTCCATTCCCACTGGCCAGACCCCAGCACAGATCCCATCCTCTCCTCCAGCCTCCTCCCTCCAGCCTCTGCCAGCCTATGGATCCACACTTAAACCCTTTCTGTCCCTGCCCCTCCTGTGGCTCCCCTGTGCCCTCAAGAGACATCTAAGGGCCCTTTCAGACCCACCCGCTCTGGCCACGCCCTCCACCCTCTAATTCTTTGAACATCCTGCCATTCTTCTGCGCCATCTCTCCCCTCCCAGATTTGCAGGCAGGTTTCCTACCTGGAATGCTCTGCTCACTCCCTGCCCAGCCCCCACCCCCAACTTGTCCTGCAACCTCACCTGCTTAAGAATCATAACAATAATTACCACTTCTGTGCCAGGAACCATGCAAAATGCTACCCAGGCATTATCTGCCCAAACACTTCCAAATGCCCTCAGAGCTGGGTGTCGTTATCATCATCTTACAGGCCAGGGGACTGTGGATCAGAGAGGTCAAGGGAACTGCAGGAGGTTGCACAGCCAGAGGAGCTGGGCTTTGGCTCAGGTGGTCAGAATGCTTACTCCTTCTGAAAGCTTCTACCACCCTGAGCTCTGCTCAAGCTCCCAGTCAGTCCTCTGAGCTTATCCAGGGAGTTCTAACCATGCTGATGGTAACAACAATGGTAATAATACATTGTGAGCACTTTCTGTGTGTCAGATGTGGTTCTGGGGGAGCCACATTAATTCCCTCAAAACCTCATGGGGTAAGTTTTGTAGCTTCAAGATGCCTGTAAATTCGACCCTCCTCCCTCAAGGAGTAGGGTCTATGCCCCCTCCCCTTGGATCGGGGTAGACTCGGACTACTAGATCAAGGGAGTACAGCAGAAGTGACCCCACACCAATGTCTGCATCTCAGCCTGCAGACGCATATTCCACTTCATGTGTGGTGGAACACTCCCTCTTGGGGGGCGCCTGGGTGGCCCAGTGGTTGAGCATCTGCCTTTTGGCCCAGGGCATGATCCCAGGGTCCTGGGATCGACTCCACATTAGGCTCCCTGCAGGGAGCCTGCTTCTCCCTCTGCCTATGTCTCTGCCCCCCTCTCTCTCTCTGTCTGTGTGTCTCTCATGAATAAATAAATAAAATCTTAAAAAAAAAAAAAAAGAACACTTCTTCTTGGAACCCAGCCACCATATTGTGAAGAAGCTCAAGCAGCCCCATGGAGAGGAATCATGGCCTCTGGTCAACAGTCAGCTCAAGCCAACAACCCTGGCCAGTTTGTGGGCCACATGACTGAATCATCTTGGATGTCAATCCTCTGGCCACTTCTTGAGACCCCAAATGATGCCACGTAGAGCAGTGAGCTCTCCTGCCAAGCCCTGCCCAAATTTCAGGTTTATGGGTAAAATAAATTATTGCTGGCTTACACCAGAGTTTTGGGGTGGTTCATTATGCCATGCCAGACAACCAGAACACAGATCTTATTACTAACTCCACCTGAGAGAGGAGGAAATACAGGTTCAGAGAATAGGAACTTGCCAGGAAGTGGCCTGGCCAGACCCGAAGCCCTAACCACTACACTAAGCTCTTACTATTTTGATCAGCTAGATAAAGAAACTGAAGCTCAGACACCAAATGTAACTCACTCAAGATCCCACAGTTGGTAAATGCGAGAGAGGCTCTAAAATCACCATGTCTGACTCCAGGCCCCACTGCTCTTTATTCCCACAGGGGTTTTGATTGTGGTATGTCTGTGTCCCAAACCAGAACCTGAGCTTCCAGCTTTGTCCTCTCTTGTATCCCGACTCTCAGAAGGGCCTGGCACCTGGGAGTCCCCAGCAAAAACTCTGCAGATGAAAGCCTTTCTTCTTCCCACCTCACTGATAAGTGTCTTTCAAGACTCAACCAAGAAGCCACTCCCTGGGAAAGCTCTTTGGCCCCAAGAGCCAGGTCAGGTGCCCCAGGTGGCTCCCAAGTGTGTGGTGTCACCTGTGCTTAGAGCACACAGCACTCTGCATTACAGCTGCCTCTGCCCGCGTCCATCCCACCCCCCCCCCAACATGGAAGCTTCTCAGGGACTAGATGTGACTCACCTGGGTCCCCAGCGTCACCCAGCACAGGGCCTGGCACACAGGAGACTTAAGTAAATGTCTGTTGAATGAATCAAGGAACAGGTCTCCAGGGAATGAGTTAACAGAGACAGTCGTCGAGAGGGTCATAGTTTTATTGCTGGGTTTCAGGGAAGGGGCTCAAATCCGCCCAATCTCCTTCAGCTTGGCCACCAGGTCCTCCACAGTCTCCACCTTGATGCCAGCGGTTCGCTGGGGTGGGTCCTCCACACTAACTATGGAGAGCTTGGAGGTCAGGTCCACACCCAGGTCTCCGGGTTTGATCACTTCAATCTTCTTCTTCTTGGCTTTCTGCACATGGGTGGCCACAGTTTACAGGCTGCTGAAGGCACTGCCCACCCTCCCACAGCCTCCTGCCCATGAGTGCCACATCTGCAGAACCAATGCCACTGCCTGAACTTTCCTGGACCTACCCACTAGCCAGGACATCTGTGACCTCTTACAGAGCCTGGTATAGATCATTTCTGTTGGCAGGGATGTCCTGGAAAGCCCTTCACTGGCTGAAGTACACTGGCAAAGTCAACCTTCTGGTAGTAATGACTCCATGAACTTTGGGCCGAGCTGACCCACTGAACCCACCCTGCTGGATGGATGAGATAACTCACTGAACCCATCCCACTGGAAAAGATGCCCCACTGAATTCTCCTTGTTGGCTGAGATAACTCCTTGAATCCATCCTACTGGATGAGATGACCCACTATACCCTTCCTATTGGCTGAGATGACCCAATGAACCCATCCTACTGGCCATGATGAACAGTGAACTCTTCCTTTTAGCCAGGTGATCCCTCCCTTTGGATAAGAAGAGCCTTAGATCCTCTCTCCTACCAGGGAGGCACTGGGCCTGCCATGCACTCACCCGTTCCCGGGCCCTCTGTAACCCGTCCACTAAGCGCTCACCATGATGTTGGGCAATGTGGCATAGCGGGGCTCATTGAGCCGCAGGTCAGCAGTCACCACAGCAGGCAGTTTCAGCCGCACGGTCTCTAGGCCCCCATCAACCTCCCGCTCCACTTTCAGTTTGTCGCCTTCCACTGTCACCTGGGAGGCAAATGTGCCCTGGGGAGATGAGAGGATGGATAAGGTTAACTCAAGGCAGGAACAGAGCTGCAGGTGTGCATGCACACAGGTGAGTGAACAAATAAGAGAACAGAAAAGACAGTCCTGCAAGGCAACCTGAAGACATCAAGTTCACAAACATGAGGAAGCCACAGAAAGAGATCTCAGAAACCTAGGGAAGGTATCTTGTACTTTCCCTGGGAGCCAAGGTGTGGGTCCTAATGATCTGAACCTGCCAGTTAGGCTCCTTCCTACTATTAACCTAAATTAATAATGATGAACATATATGGAGTAGGAAAGGCACTGTTCTAAACAATTTACATGCACTAAGTCATCAGGCCTCACAGGAACTCTATAAGGTAAATGTTATTATCCCCCTTACAGATGAAGAAAACTGAAGCAGAGGAAGGCTCCAAAATGTGCTCACTGTCACCCACCACTGTTAAATCCAAGAGCTGGCCGTCTGGTTCTAGGCTCGAGGCAGTGCTCCCACTACCCACCATTCTGTCCCCTGGAGCTCCCTGTGAGGCCCCTCTGTGGGGCTGACCACAGCTTTATGTTCACCTTGACCCTGGAAACCTCCTCTAGGACCCCATCTTCTTCACTCAGTGCCAATGCTCTGGCCAAGACTCCTCTGGCCCTCAGCTCTGAATCAACATTTCCTGATGTACCTACACCCTCTTTGTCCAACCAACCTGTTCTCTCCATTCACTTATTCACTAGACAAACCTTCCAAGTCTTAGCTGGAATGTTCCATCACTCCCAGTGTCATCTGAGTGCCTCATGACCCAGCCCTGGGGATACACTGTGACCCCCACCAACAAGACCCTGGCTTTCATGGGCATCTATCCTGGCCAGGAAGACCACCGGGAACCAAAGAGATACACAGCAGCCACTGGACCCAGGTGTCTCCTGAGCACAAGAAACGTAGCTACCATGATTGAGGGATAGAGTTTTTCATCTTACTTAATTTAAATATAAAGACCGAGGGGCATCTGGGTGGCTCAGTTCGCTAAGCGCCCACCTCTTGATTTCGGCTCAGGTTATGGTCTCAAGGTTATGAGATCGAGTCCTGTGACAGGATCCTCACTTAGCAGGGAGCCTGCTTCTCTCCCTCTGCCCCTTCCTGTGTGTTCTCTCGTTCTCTCTCTCTCTCTCTCTAAAATAAATAAATAAATCTTTTTAATAAATAAATAAATAAATTTAAAGATTGACAGGCCAGATACATTATGATTGTAATGATGGCTTCATGGGTGTACCCATGTGTCAAAGCTTACCAGACCATACACTCTAAATATATGCAGTTTATTGTAGGTCACTTATCTCAATAATGCTGGTTAAAAAATAAAAGATACTCAATGCAGTCCCTGGAAAATTTTTAAGTCCATTTGGAACAACTTAGGTGTGTGAACCTACTTTTCCTTTTTTTTTTTTAAGATTTTATTTATTTATTCATGACAGACATAGAGAGAGACAGTGACACAGGCAGAGGGAGAAGCAGGCTCCCCATGGGGAGCCCAATGCAGAACTCGATCCCAGGACCCCGGGATCACGACATGAGGCAAAGGCATAGGCTAAACCACTGAGCCACCCAGGCACCCTGAACCTACTTTTTCAAGTGTGAATTTTAGGAATCTAAATTAAGTATTTTTAAAAATATTTTATTTACTTATTCATGAGAGACACAGAGAGAGGCAGAGACATAGGCAGAGGGAGAAGGAGGCTCCCCATAGGGAGCCCGATGTGGGACTTGGTCCCAGGACCCTAGGATCGTGCCCTGAGCCAAAGGCAGATGCTCATCCACTAAGCCACCCAGGCATCCCTAAATTAAGTATTTCTGATGGAATTTCAGCATCTGAACTGAGATATGCTGTACATATAAAAATCCACCCTGGATTTCGCAGACTTAATACAAAAAGAAAAAAGAATATAAAATAGCTCAGTATTTTTTATATTGATCATATGCTAAGAATATTTTAGATGTGTTCAGTTAAATAAAATATTATTGCAATTAGTTTTGCCTGTGTCTTCTTACTTTTTTTAATCTGGCTATGAAAAAAAAATTTTTTTTTTTTTTAAATTTTTAATTACCTAGGTGGCTTGTGTTTCTATTGGGCTGGCATAGGTGGGGAGTAGGGAATCTGACATTGAGGAGGGGATCTGAGGATTTCATAAGGGTGGGCAAGGAAGGCCTCTCTAAAGAGGTAATAACAGAGCAGGGACCTAAAGGAGAGAGTGGGAAAGCCATGAGGCAATCTGAGGGAACCATGTCTTGGCTGAGTGAACAGCAAGTGCAAAGTCCCTGAGGCAGGGATGAATTCGGTGAGGTTGACAAGTGACAGGGCAGGTAAAGACAGAGGACCAAACGCCCAGATGAGAAGCATGGCGTCCTGGCTGGGCACATCTCCTTCCTGCCCACCAGAGTAGCCATCCTGTCTTACTAAGCCTGCCTCCTTCCAAAAGGACAGGGACAAGGGTGGCCCTGTTCTGAGCTCCCAGATCTGACCTCCAGCAGGTGCTCCCCACTCCAGCCTCACCTGTGGCCAGTCTAGAAATCCAGCTGTCATCTGCCCCGTCTGGTTACAGTCATCATCGATGGCCTGAGTGGAGAAAGAGAGAAGACTATATTACAACGGGTCTTTTCACATATCATTTGGGCCTTGGTCTAGATGAGGTTTGGCCAACATTTTCCAAATATCACCTAGTCTCTGTCACAGCTACTGAACTCCACTTCAGTAGTACACAAGCAGCCACAACAATGTGCTTATATAAAGCAACAAGTGTGATAGTGTTTCAATAAAATTTTATTTATAAAATCAGCAGTGGTCATGGCCCACAGTTTGCTGACTCTTGGTCTAGAATGATCCCATCCCCCCACTTGGGTCTGAAGATAGGCAGCCACTTGTCCAGGGGCACATAAGGACATCTAGCATCCTCAATGCCAAATAGGGGTCTTTGCCCACCATATAAATATTCATAGAAGCCAGGACCTGACCAGCCACACTGGGGAACTGAATAAGCAGGACCTGGGCCAAGAAGAACATTCTATCCCCTGACCCTAGTGATTGGTTCAGGGATGGGTACTTGACTCAAGCTGGACCAACGAAGGGCCCTGAAAGCTCTTCGGAGCCCTGAAAGATTTGCTGGAATCTTTGGGAAAGAGGCTCTTTTTTTTTTTCACTGAAGGTGCTAGACTTGTGGGGTGTGAGCCTGGAGATGTGGAAAGTAAAGATAAGACAGAGGAACAGAGCCTAGAGCTGACATGTGACCCTGGATCAAGCTATGCCTGAAGCCTGATTCTATAAACTAACAGGTTCACTTTATGGCTTAAGCCAGTTTGATTCTGTCACCTACAATGAAAAATGTCTTGACCAGTTTATCCTCTATCTTCTCAGTTGGAGGTCCTGGTCCCAGGAACTGTCCCTGACAACCAGGACAGGCAGAAGGGGGGCTTCCATTGGCCATGCTGCCACCAGCAGTATCCTGGGGAGCTGGTGTGAGACCTGGGTCCTCAGAGCCCTGAGCCCTATCCAAACCATGCCTTTTTGGCCTGTTCTCTGATCAGGCCCTTTGCCTCAGCTTACTGACTTACACTGATTCCCTTATTGTCATGTCTTGTTCTCTATTGCCTGACTTGTGCAAGGCTGTGCACGACACCCAACAACCTACATAGACCCATCAGCCTCCCTCTATCCTCAGGTGCTGATCCAGCCTCTGGAATCACTGTCTTTTCCTGCCAGGGCTCAGCCTCTATATCTGAACCTCCTGTGCCATCTATGTGCCTCATCTTCTCTCCCAGGCTCTGATAT